TCCCTACCCGCCCCCCCGCCGGTCTCCCACCTCGGCCCTCCCCCTTTATCTCTGGCCGCTCCCTCCCGGGAGTTTTCCACCCTGGGGTGGGGGGTGCGGCAGGCCAGAGGTCAGGAGATGGCAAGCTGGGAGCGCCGCCACGTGCCCGAATGCGGCCCCGCCCGAGCCCGCCCGTGACTCAGCCGCGCGGCTGTCGAGGAACACGGGCTCGGGGGGCGTCGGGGGTCATGGGAGTCGAGGTGGACGCCAGGGAGCGGCGCCCTGCTCCGCAGGATGAGAGCAACGAAGCCCCTTCTCGCCCGAGAGGCGCGGCGTGACCCCGGCGCCCCTCCCCCGAGGGACCGGAAGCGGCCGAGCCCCTCAGCGGCGAGGGGGTGCCAAGCCCCCGGCACGGACCTGCCCCACCCCCTTCCCCGGTGAGCGAACTAATGGCTCCGAAGTACTTAACAAAAGTTTGACTGGAAAAGAAGAAAAAAACCCAGTGGGCCCAAAGTAGAAAGGACTTTCCCCTTCTTGAAAAAGTTGCCCATCTTGGAACGTTAGTATTCCTCCGCCTTGAAAAATAGCCCCGCCCGTTTCGCCCCGCGGGCGCCCGCGCTCAGTGGCCTCTGGAGAGATGGGCCAAGGGGCACGGCCGGTGGGTGACCCCAACTGCTGGCCAGGCACGGGCGGGCGGGGCCGGGACATGGGGTGAGGCCCTGGGCTGGAGCCGATTCCTTGGAGTGGGGATGGGTTCGAATGACCCCAACTTGTGCAACCCGGACAGATGCTGGGGACAGAAGTGCCCCGCTGGGTGCCTTTAGGTCTGAGAACGACCGCGGGTACTTTGTCAAATTCCCCCTTTCCTCCCTTTTTATTGAATAAGTAAAATGAAGAGTGGAGAGACGGCTGCGCGCACACCCCCGCCCCTTCCGCCAGGCGGGAGACACGTCCCGGGCCCTTTATAACAACTCTTTGAGGAAGGTTCCACATTATCATTTCCATTTTAAAGATGGAAAAGTTGATTCACCGAGGCATTGAATAACTTGCCCAAGGAAGCAAATAGCAGAGCTAGGTTTGAACCCAGATGGTCTGGCTCCAGGGCCTGTACACTTAAGTATCCTCCTGGATGGTTGCAGTAATACAAGCTCCATATTCCTAGTGCCTTCTATGTGTCAGACTCCAAGCTAAGCCCACATCGTACGTCCTCACAACTGAGTTGCACTATAAGATGAAAAGCTCAGACTCAAAGGGGCATGAGGAAGCTTTTGAGGGTGATGGATATATTCATTTTCTTTATTGTGAAGATGGTTTCACAGGTGTATACAAATGTCAAAACTCATCAAATTGTACCCTTTGCAGTTTATTTCATATACATTTTTATCTCAATAAAGCTGTTTAGGCTGGCTGATTAGCTCAGGTGGTTAGAACGTGGCCTTGCAACACCAAGGTCAAGGGTTCAGAACCCCATACTGGCCAGCTGCCAAAAAAACAGACAAAAAACCAATGAAAAAAATGAAGCTGTTTAAAAAAAAAAAGGAAACATTGCATTGTACCATTAGATTGGCAAAAATAAGAAATGCGGGTTTTGTTAAGTGTTAGCCAAAATGGATGGATATAGAGACCCTGATGGGAACTCAGAGTAATGCCACCATTCTGGAAAGCAATCTGTCAATATATAGTCAAATTAATTTTGACAGTAGCCTCTGTCCCAGTTATTCTGCTCCTAGGTTGATTCCAAAAAAGAAAGAATTCCATCATAGTGAAACTGTACAAAGTCAAGGGAAAGAAAATCCAAAAAGATAGAAGAGAGGTGGTCTTAAATAACACAATTTCAAGACTTTGTATACACTATAAAGCTACGATAATCAACACAGTGTGATATTAGAAAGACATTGACAGCTACCAGAGCCGCGGTCCCGACGGCAGCGCGTGCCCCGAGCTCTCCACCTCCCCCCGCCCGCCAGCCCGAGCCTAGCCCGCGGCCTTAGCAGCAGCGCCTAGAGCAGCCCCAGTTAGCAGCGCCATGGCCGGGTGGAACGCCTACATCGACAACCTCATGGCGGATGGGACCTGTCAGGACGCGGCCATCGTGGGCTACAAGGACTCGCCCTCCGTCTGGGCCGCTGTCCCCGGGAAAACCTTCGTTAATATCACGGTACTGCGAGGTCTGCGCGGTCCAGGGCACTGGTCATGCTCGGACCCTGAGGGAGGGACTTGGGTGGGGGCCGGCGCGGGGGCTAGGGAGGGCAGCGAAAGGCCCTGACCGGGTCCTTGCCCTGGAAGCGGCGCGAATGGCGGCTACACGTGAGCCGGTCCCTCCGTTGCCCCTAAGTCCTACGCCCCAGGCGGCGGCCGCCCATCCAGCCCGCCGCCCCGCTTTCTGCGCTGGGGCGTTACATCCGGGGCACAGGGCGGGGAGGGGCGCGCCGCCCGGTACGGCGGCCCACTTCCGCCTCCTCTAGGGCGGGGCGGGCGCGCGCGCTGCAATTTTAACCAGGGATTGTGATTGAGAAGGGACTTGGGGACCCCCGGCCGCTAGCTCGCGCCCCGTTCCATTATTGTTACCCGCTCTGCGGGAGGGAGCTCCGGGCGCGTGGCCTTGGTTCCATGCCCGTCCTCCGTGGGCTACCTGCTCCTCCCAACTCCGTTAGAGAGGGCGAGGCCGCCACACGCCCCCCCTAACTCGGCACGTTGGACTCAACATTCCTGTGAGGCCAGTCCCGGAAGTCCCCTCGCCCTGTCTTCCCGCCATCCGGCGGGGCCTGGAGCAGGGGAACTTTGTGAAAAGTTCGAGATAGTAAAGTGAAGGAATAAGGGATGTATGACTGCTGCTTTCCCCACCACCATCTCCCCTGTCCACACTGCCCGGAAGTGGGGAGGGGGAGCGGAAGTTCGAAAGGGGTAAGGGGATTTCCGGGCGGGAGGGGACCGGATGTGGGG